ATGGGAAATTAGTCTTATTGAGCTAAGGTATTTTACTGCTAGGCCCTGAAGAGAAAGATGAGTCCCTTAACCCAAATGAAGGATGGAGCACGTCTTCTTCACAAATTTATATTCAACAGAGGTGTTCAGATTTCCTCAATAGGAATTCTTATTCTCTGTGGGCCCAATAGCTAGGAAACCTGTGTGAAAATCTCACATTTTAAGTTTTTAAACAGATATTCAGAGGTGGAGTACCACTTGATGGCTTGGCTGTTAGAAGCTCAATAAAATGAGTCATGGAGAACAATTATACTTACAGTAGATAAGGTGTTCGTGACAGAGGGTAAGATGAGGTCCATGAAAAGGATAACATCTACAAGTGTTAGTGTAATATATGATAAGTAAATATTACAGGCAAGTGCTATCCAATAGAAATGTAATGTGAGCTATGTAAGTAACTTTAAATTTTCTAATAGCCCACATTAATAAAATTAAAAAGGAACAAGTGAATTAATTTTAATAATACATTTTATTTAAACCAATGTCTATAAATATTATTAGTTAAACTTAAAATCAATGTAAAAATTTAAAGAGATATTTTACTTTTTTTTTTTGTATGAAGTCTTTGAAATCTGTGTGTATTTTACACTGACAGCAAATCTTGATGTGAGCCTGCCTCATTTCAAGTGCTCCATAAGCATCTGTGGCCGGTGGCTATGGTATTGACCAGTGCAGTTATAGCTAATTAGGTCTAGAGGTCTAGCTGCTCAACTTTGCGTGGTAGAATTTGAGGAACTCTTAGAGAATTATAACTTCCCAGCCCACTAATACTGCTTAACCAATATTGCCCCACAATATAATACTTGCAACACTATCTCAACTGTGCCTGTCATTTCTAACATCATTTCTATGATGTAAAAAAGTCTGAATACAAAGGGTATTCCTGGAGATAGGTTGAGTGAGTTCTTCTCTGTACCAGGAATTAGTAACTTGTCAATGATTTTAAAGAAGATCTGCTCCCGAGGCCAGCTTCCTTGATACTGGTTTGTATATATGAGTCTTTATATGGAAAGTGTAATTGTTTAGGTAAATGTATATTTATTTATCATTCTTACATACCCCTAAAATTAGAATTTATGTTGCTGTGTTAGTGTTTCTCAGCCCTGGCTGTGTTATCAGAATTATCTGTGGAGCCAGGAGCCCTTTGGGAAAGAGACCCTCCAGGAATGACTCTTGGGCAGATATATATTCTAAATTTTCCACAAGGCATTTTGATGGACAGCTGGGGTTGGGAACTACTACTGTGGGCCTAGTCCCCATGTCTGGAAGATGAGAATGGGCATGGAAGGTACTAATTGTCACGAGTGGTGGTTGGTTGGTCTGGTTCTGGAAAATGGGGAGAGAGAAAATTTTATAGCTCAAAAGTAGAGCAGAGTGGAAGGAATAAAAAGAAGAAGGTTTAGATGGAAAATCCAGGAATTACTTATCATCCTGACAAAACCAGCCAGACATTGACACAGGTAGGGGTTATACCATCTCTATTCTGGAACAAAGTCAACATTTACAAAAAAATTATTTGATGCCTTTCTAACCAAACCTGCCTTGCTTGCCTGCCCTGGGAGAGCATCCAAAAACATCCAATTGCAAATAAGATGTACAATATTATTGTCTGTGAACAAGGAAGAATATTTGAAATGTGTGAATTTAGAAACTTCTAGATATTATAGAACACGATGTTTCTTGTTAATACAGTAAAAAAAGAACATTTTCATCATCTGCCAATGGGATTACTTAGGTAAAATTGAGTAACTACATATTTTCCCCACACTATTATTATTTAATGAGCACAAATTATCATCCCATAAGTAAATATCAATACATTTCAACCTTTTAGATGCTTTTTAAAAAAAGCTTTAGTAAGTAATGGCAGAATTTAAACACTACTTTATCCAAACTATTTCAAAGCAATGTAAAATTATTGGATAAATAGCAATTTAAATTATGAGGGGAATGTCTAGGGGAGAGATTTTCTAAAAACAAACTTTGGAAAAAAGAGTCTTTTTTGTTTTTAGAAAATGAAATTTATGATGGATTGAGTCCCTTAGTAGAGGAGAAAAATAATGAAAGTAAGTACACACTGATCTTTAGGAATAGACAAAATAAGCAACTACTGAGTGGAATGATTCCAAGATTGCTTGGCGAGCACCCCCAAATCCTACCTGAGCACTCCAGGGTTAAGCATCCTTAGAAGCCTATTTGTCTAAAGGTTCTCCAGGGAAAATGACAGTAGGCTGCAGGGCTGACACTGTAAGTTGGTATCAGTCATTTTCACAAGGTGTGAATGGAAACAAACACAACCAGGCTCTCAGTCCTTCCTGCTGCTGCCACGTCCTCCCAGCCTGCTCTGCCTCTGCTCCCTCGCTTCTAATGAAAGACCACCGGACTCTGCTCATGATCTTCTTTCCGTTTCTATTGCCCTTTAATTTGTAGACCGACAATTAGCAAAAGCATTCAAACCCTATTTTGTAAATTCTTGGAGGAATTCACATATATGTCATTATTTTTGGCCATGTGTCCTCTGCTCCATCTTGCCCCAAACTTGCGTTTCATGTGTGTAGACTGCTTTTCCAATCCCAGTATCTCAGCTCATCCTTTTTCCTCACTGCCAGCTGTGAAGACTAGCCTTATGAGAAGGGGAAATTCAGAATTATAGTAGTTGAAAAGGGAGAGAACTCACAACAGCTTAGAGTTTCAAAAGAGAGGAGTTGGCTTAGGTTTCAAGGGCTGGGTGGGTGAAAGGGTGTATTTAATAATCTGAATATGTAACGTGGTGGCACTAAAAAGGTAGTGAATGCTTGAATTCTAAATGGCAGTAAAATGAAATGTGGGACAGATGTGAGAAGCCATGGAAAGGCTTTAGATAAGAAGAAATAATAAATAATTGTAGAAGTGGATAGTAGAATAGTTAAACTGATGGTAAATGATTTAATTCCATTG